GATCAATCTCGCAATCGGTATTAATGTGATCTGTTTTTCCTTATAGATTTTATGTGGTCCCTGGGAGCATTACCTGATGGTGAGTATTGAAATATGCACGAACACGTAACAACAAAACGACTCCGATGTCCAGTGACATGCTTACCATTCCGTAACGACGTTCAATCACGTTTGACGTAAGACCGTCGTTGTAATATTCACGCGTCGATCAATCATGAACGAGTGAATCGGAATCCCGTATATTCCGCCGCGAGTTTTCTCGTTTTCGTGTCGCGTGCACGATTCCACCTCCTGTACAGATAAAATCGTTTCGGTCGTTTCGCTCCGCGGGCGAAGCTTCGCCTTTGTGAAAATACAACCGTAGTTCATTAACGTAATTATTCGGTTAACTCGTCGTCACGCGTCGTTCGATGTTACATCGCGTCTGCCCCATCGGAGTATGCCCGATGCATTAATTTCACTTGAAATTAAATCGAAATATCATATGAAAAACGAACACACGTAAGGATCTCTTGTTTTGTGGAAATCGTTTGGCCAGTAATTTCATAGCGTTTCCAATCGAAAATGATTCCGTAGAGTAACACGGTACGTACTTGGGAAATATTTTATGTAATGTACACTTTACAGGGAAGGGAGCATGTAGATGGTAGTTGATAGACAACGTATTTGTAGATAGATACGTAACTGATATCACTTACCACACTCTACGATCTATGTACTGTAATATCATGATTAATACAAGTTTTAAGTTAGAAAACCCTTGGCAGTATGGTTACCGAATGAAAAAAGAAAACTTTCCTTTGGGATCAGGTTAAACTTCAAATGGTATCGTTAGGTTGTAGATGACTGTAGTGTTTTATATTTAATTTTATTTTGTATTTTATACAATATGTCCGCGATAGATGTGTTAGCGATGAAAATTAAATCCCAAAATTGTATAATTTAATCCTAAATTTTTATCAACGATGCCATTCAAGATATTTCAGATTCATTTATACTCGAGATTAACAATATTTGAATATTTATGCGAAATTACATAATTATATAGTTAGTAACAAAAGTGAATGTGTTAAATGAAACATTACAGGTAACGATACTACCATATTGTTAATTGAAAAGTTAACAAACGCGCGCTTGTATGAGAATTCTGATTGACAGCTTCGAGATTAGAGATAACGAGTATTAACCCTCAAGTTTCGCTGGTAAATCAGAATAGGTCGGACAAAAGGTTGCATAATCCCGGTGTTAACAACGTATCCACACACGCATTCACACGCATCGTTACACGATTGCGACACGAATCGGTCGAACACGCTCCATATAACGTTCGCTCCACCCGGCTCCTCGAAAGTTCCTCCGAGTGCTTTAGAGAAGCAGGTGCACGGGAAAGGAAAAGCTGACAGATTGTTTTTCTCTGTTCACAGGTTTCCCAGCGGCGGCGTACGCGGCATACGCGGCAAGCCGCGGCTATTCTGGGTACCCTAGTTTCGGACTGCCCTACCCGACAGGTAACCACCTTAGCCTTAACCACCTTAACCACCATAATGCGGCCCACATCGCGCCCTTGAATCTGAACTTGAACCTGATACAGGCGCAGCCTGCCCCACATCATAATCCGCCTACCCCCACACCGCTCTTCTACCATCCCAATTTGGACCTCTACAACGCCATGCCTCTGTGAACTAACTAATTATATAACGTGTCTAATAACTAATCTCGACATCGAGCTATGCGCACATATCTCTAACCAAAACAAAGGAAACCGCAAAAAGAAGAAAAGACAAAAACATAAAAAAAGAAAGGAGAACTCATCCCCATTGCTACACCATTTTACTAACTGTGCTCTCGCTGTCGCTACTCGTTGTCCTGCTCGTCGTCGTCGATTTATAAGCACGAGAATCGAGCGGGTTACACGTGGGTGAAACGGGAAATCAAGACGTGGGGGGAGGGGGTAACAACGTCAGAAATTAGCCTCGGTTCGAAGGAGAGGGCACGTTACCTGATCTCGTGCGCACAAAGGTCTCGAGAGGGAGCCTTTGTTGCGAGCACCGTCGTGTCGCGTCCGCTCTCGGTCGAAATTCGTTTCCGAGAACAATCGCTCCTCGAGCAGCGTTAGACTCGCAGCTAGACGAATTTCGAACGATTGGTTAATGTCGAAACGGGATTTCCAAATGTTTCTTCGAAGTAACCGTCGACGCGAAACTCGATGACACGCGGAAGACGAGAAGACGATCGATTTTTCTACGAACACATTGCGTTGAACCGGACGTTTCTTCGCTAATTTCACCCAATTGCCGTGTATTTTTTTTTTTTTTTTTGCTTCGAACGCGAGAAATCTCGTAGATGCGCGAGACGAAATGCGAAACCGAGATCGCAATGTGTTAAGAAAGTCGACGCGTGTTTCGTCGATTCAGACGGGACGTATCTTTTCGATCAGGCGGCCTGTGCTCACGAGACACGGAAAAATATTGGAAAATCCGTTCTCGCGACGGACTTCCGCTCTCGACGACAGGACACGGCGAATTAAGTGATCCAATGTTGCGTCACAGACCGACGTTCTATCGGGAACGATACGGTTGTGCGCTCTGTACGTCCAACGCGAAGGACGTTGTATATTATTCAGCAACGTTTGCTCGGACTCTGGCGGTCCTCCACTTCCGGGACGAAGTTTCGATCGCCGGAGCACCGGGCAACCGGTCCCCACTCAATACGAAAAGAGTGGTGAACGTTGTACAAAGTCACTATAAATTATCGTATCGATATTATCTTGTCGAGTTTAAGATTTAAAAAAATTCAGGCGATTCTCAAGGAGGTGCCGATTCTCTTTAGCCAATTTTTTACCCCGTTCCGTGTTCATCGGCGAGACATTTTAAAATAGACGATCGATTCATCTTCCGACGATTCACGATTTTTACTCATTATGGTGTGTGTTTGTTCATTAAAATTCGAAACTTTCTGGCGTAATCTGTGTAATCGAATAGGAATTATATTCTAACGTTTGTCCAATATTGCGAATAATTTCTTCATGGATCAGATGACACACTGATATTTTATTATTTTTCATACGGTCCGTGAAGAAGCTAGCTCCAATGCTTGCGATACGTCAGAATGTAATCCACATTGGGCACGATTTATCTTAATCTTAATTGACAAAGAGACACTTGTAGTTTCGCCACTGACCGATTTGTAATAAATTTCGCAAAATGCTGGAAAATTTAAATTATGGGAATTTTATATATATATATATATATATATATATATATATATATATATATATA